TATACGAACATTAGGATTCTAAACTGTCAAAGCTTACTCGTGGATTGGCCTCATATTCATTTGGTAAATACTGGATACAGTTACCATATGATTGACTTTTTGTGGTTCATACAATGTGTGTTTCCCATTGGCTATTGAAACTAGGATGAAGAATATCGCATTATTGCTCATTCAGATCCAGGAGCCACTTTTGACACCTCTTCCATACACGTTGGAGGTTATTGGCTATTGTTTCTACCCAGAAATGAATTAACTGATAAATGGAACAGTTTTCTCAAATATTGCAGTTTTCAATATATACCCCTTGAAATCTATACATTTTTCCATAACATCGTCTCAAATTCTGGTGGATTTTCCTCAATAGGCCTGGTGTTATTTCACCATACTTTTGCCTTATCATCTCCTTCAATTCGTTCAAATTCCGTGTTGTTTTCCTTCAAACACTTCCTTTCAAATATCCCCACAGAAAAAAATCTGATGAAGTCAGGTCTGGTGATCGAGGGGGCCAACAAATAAATGGGCTGTTCCTTGCAATCAATCTTCTTTAAAATTTTTCTTCAAGATATTGCCGCATAGCAATCATATTGTGAATGAAGGCACTGTCTAGCTGAAATAAAACTTTTCTGCGTTCTTCAATGACTGGTTCTTTCATGGAATCCAAGAATTTCGCCTCTTTCTAACTTGTGCATGATTTTGGGTTTGAAGCAAATAACTTCTTCTTTCAAACATGTACGTGTTTCAGATATACTAACGTGTAAATCTTGTGAAATCTGTCGCAAGCTATTTTTCGGGTTTTCTTGAACACACTCTAAAATTTATTCATCTATCTCTATATTCCTTCTTTGTCTCGGTACATGTGTTTCATTTACTCTCTCAGTTCTATTGAACAACGTATTGATTCTGGAGACGGTTGTATGGTGATTTGGTTCACGATCTGGATATCTTCTGTTGAATTATTCCGCGGCAACCCTCGTTGATCGAGCATTTTTACTAAATTAAACCCACAATCACAATTCTCCTGACTGAGTTGAGATTTACCATTTTGAAAACTGGCAAAACCCTTGTAAAACTCTCTTCACCAAATACTCTTGAAAAGCGTTTGAGGATACTGTCAAAATTATAACAACGAAAAAAGAGACAACTCAATTTCAAAGCCTGCTATGAAAAACAGTGCCTGGCTTATTGACCTGATCGAATGAGTATGCCATGTACAGTTTGTTAGACAGTGTCAGTCAAAAATCATGAATTTGGGAAATTGTCATCATATAATAAAGCACTGTATGATATATTAGGCTGAAACTTGGTTTCTATTAGAGAGACGTTTGCAGAAACTTCATATTCCACCCTGAATCAAGCTGCCTCTGAAACTGAGACATGGATTAGAAGTGAAGAAATCAAGGTTTGAACCAAAGGTGAAGAAGAGTTCACTTACGAGATCGCTGACAAAAATTCTGATGAGCAGTGGGCCAACTACAGATTCCTGTAGTTAGGTTAGGTTAGGTCAGAAGTGAACGAGTCTATTCGACATTTCACCACATCCCGCAAGGGTTTATTGTGGCTCACACCTATTCAAACTCCACCATATAACCGCAGATAAATTATTGGTACTATATTTCAATTACTCCAGCCTCTAAGAATAATATAGTCAGTTCCTCAGTTGTAATTCTTTTCATGAATCTGCAGGAAAGACACGTTAAACTGATTTGATGATAGTTTGGAAAATCAAACTCATCTCCATTTTCCCAAAATAAGGAAAAATTGCACACCATGAAGCATAAGTGGGCATTGCTTCATGAAAGTAGATGAAATGTTGTTGAGACTGCCATATCCATTTCTATCCTTTGTATAGAGTTAAATATTTTCTCTTCGTTAAATATGATATTTCCAGTGGTCTGTTCATTTGTGACTTGGCTTTGGAAAAAATTAGGATTACTAATGTTATTGTTGAGAAAAGAAATTCTGATTTCGTTTCGGAAGTCCTACGAATATATTTTTCCTGGGAACTTATCTTTCCTGAAAATATTAGTTTGTCAATTTGAAGAAAAACTAATCTCCGAGTTTATTCTTAACGAAACTCTGTTTCTCCTCTACATCAACAAATTGAATATTGATATCTTCGGGAAAATAACCGCATCTCACGCTCCTCGAACACCCACCCTTTCCGATATTCCGGATCCGCGAATGGAAAGCGAAAAATAGTAAAAAGCGACGTTTTCCCACTTTCCTCCGCGAAAGCACTTGACTTGATCCCTTGATTTCCAGGTGAACCATTTCTCCCCGACATAACGACCTCTTATAGCCACTCTGAAAGTTTTTATATTTCGGTTCCATCCCCGTCTTGATGGATAAATCCATTGCAACCCCGACGTCACTCATGACGAATTCATGAGCCGGATACCTGACCTGAAACTAAAATGTTTGCGAGCCTTTTTACGACACGCTGCCATAAAAATCGTGGTGCAACTATTTTGTATCAATTTTTCAGATGGTTTTGAGTAATGCCGGAGATTTGGTAGGGGGAGCAGTGGCAGTGGATTCTCGGGGGACGTGTAACTTGAGATGTTTCAACTGTCTTAGGTTTTGAGATTGGAAAGGAAGGGGTTCTCAGTGACTTTACAGCTGTTAATACTGTGGAAGTCGGTAAATTATGTACAGAGAGGCTAAATTGGACACTCTTGAAGGGAAACTCGTTTTCAAACTATAAGCTGCAAAGTAGCAGCTTATAATAGCATATTTCACAGATCAGTCAATGTTCCTCTTTCAATAGATAATTTCAATGAAGAGATCAATATCATCAAGCAAATTGCGGTAAACAATGAGTTTAACGCCGAATTAATAAACAAAATACTTGCCAAGAAAGTCTACGCAAAAGCGATTCGAGACGTTTTTCCTATTGATAAGGTAGATGATCAAAATTATAGATCTTTAACGTATTTTGGACAACCAACGAAAAAAAGTGGCTACATTTTTGATGAAACAAGATATTTAAATTGCATATAGAACAATTAACACGTTGGGAATGTTACTTGAAAATAATAAAGACAAAACATCCAAATTCGACAAATCAGGAGTATATAAGTTAAGTGTGGAACGTGTCAAGAGGTATATATTGGTCAAACTGGCAGAATATTAAGGAATCGAATTCGGGAACATCATACGAGCTGTGTAAAAATTTAATTTAACAATTTATAGTGAATTTCTTTTGTTTTCTGATGACCTGAAGATGTTCAAAGTTATTCATGACTCAACTGATACAAAATTATTACATCCCATATTGCAAATATTACTTCCAAAGCACTTGAATGTTAGGTTTCATTCTTTGATCTGCAAATGAATTATTTCTTACTTCAATAAAAATCATATATTGTTCAATTGTTAGATCAATAATCAAATACAATTCCACAATTTGGTGCCCTTCATATAATGTGGATGTTGATATGCTTAAAAGTGTTCAAAATAAGTTTTTAAGGTACTCTGCATATAAACTGGGATATCATATTGGTGAATATGACTATAAAATTATATTGGATATTCTTAACTTGAATACTCTGGCTCTTAGAAGATTAAAATCAGATCTTACACTAATTCATGAAATAATCAACGGTAGCATCAATTCCCCGAAAGTTGTCGAACTTATAACTCTAAATGTAAATCGAAGGGGAACAAAAATTCAGAAATCTTCAACGTACCCTTTTTGTCGCACCAACTATGGCCGGAATGAATCTGTAGGTAGAATTTTGAGACTTGCAAATACATGAAATGTAGATTCAGAATTTTCTAATTCTTTTTTGGAAACATTTAAAAAGACTGTGAAAAGATTTTTACGATATTTTTTTATTATACTTTATATATTTTCTCCTTAAAAATAGCTTATATTACTGTTGAATACATATGTGTGAACTTGTTAATTGTTTTGTGAAGAATAGGCAGTGCCCTAAATGAATAAATAAAATCTGTACTATATTCACTACTATTAAATGAAACTTCAACAATGATAATACTAATTACAAAGAACAAACAATGAAATATATTTTTTCAGAGAAGGTGAGATATATACCAGCTTCTCCAACACATAGGCGACATCTCTTCTGAACGTTTTTTACCGAATTAACTAGTTCAGCAGGGGCTAGAACTTTGCATCAATGCCGCTTCCAACTCGTATCTAGAATTGATCAGCAATTTTGAAATGAAATCTTTCAGACTTCTCAAGAGATAGTATTCCATAGGCGTCAGCTACGGTGACCTGGCCGGCCAATGGTTGGGTCCTTGGTTGGCTATCCAATTATTGCGAGGCGAAGCCACGCCTTGTTGGAAATATATTTTTCTGAGCTCTATTAGTGGTAATTCATCAACAAGAGGTTCAATATTCTGCCTAAAACTTTCTAAATTCCTCTGAGATATGAGTGCCATTATAAATGAAAGGGCTGATAATTCTACCCCCGAAAACACCTGCCTACACACTAAATCCATATCTTCCTTGACTCCTCTGCTCCACAATAGAATGAGGATTTTGTTGTGCTCGAGTATAAAAATTATAAATCTGTTGGAATATGCAGGAAAAAACAGGGTGTCTCATTAAAAATAGTTTTCCACCGATAACTATCGATATCTCATTTTGAAAAATGAGATTTCTGCACCATTCAATTCTGAGTGGAACAATTCTTTGGAAATATTTGTATCATATTTTCTATGTTGAAAATTCTAGAGGGATACAATTTGTGAATAAGTCATGTACTTGGGATTTATCGTTGACGGATATTTTACATAGTGTTCGAAATGAATTTGTCTGCAAAACATTCACTGACAGAATATGAAATTTATAAGATTGGATGGTTCTTTCGAAAAAATCTAAAAGTTCTATTCAGCAACATATTCTCAAAACGAATTGAATTTTTCACAATTCTTGAGTTTTGCAAGATCGAAAGACCATTTCTGTTGTTGAATTTACTTTCAACATCGTTATTGTTTCAGTCGATTACCCCTAGTTTTTTTTGTTATAGGTCGAGTGTCGAGAGAAGCTGAATTCCTCAACCGGAGCAGTATGATCCACCCTCAACAGCAGGCTTACGAATTTTTCGGCAGTGACATACGACATACCGCGGACGGATATCCAGCTAGAACGACTGATAAGTGTCTGCAAGCAGGGGAACCACCACTAGAAGTGAATAAAAAAAATGCAGCTGAAGATTCAGAAAATGTATTCTAGAAAGAAGTGTATAGAACTTGTTGTAGATGGACTTTCAGTTTCTGATTGAGAGCAAAACCAAGACATTTGTTTGTCTGAAAATTGAGTTGTGTTAGGAAAACACCCAAATTGTCAGACTTTTACTTTGGGTGGCAAACGTCATCAGATATCATCATTTTGAAAAAATATTGTGTAACGCAGGCTGTACAAATAAAAATAAATATGGAAAACTGACTGTGTACTTGAATAATTGTTTATTTTTATGAAAAATTCCAACCAGCAAAACTACTGTATTACAACGATAACTCTAAATAGGGTTGATATAATCAAAATTTTTAAATATGAATGAAACAAAGTGTGTGTGATATATCATTGGAATTTTTTATTCCTTTGAAAGACCTTTTGATGCCAGCATTATGTGTGGAATATAACATCGTTCGAATGTCCGCCACAACGCATCCCAAACGTCCAATTTTTCACAACACTGGCCCATAAATCAGGATGAATTTGACCGATGTAGGCTTTGAGGACCACTGTGGTGTGTGGCTTATTGGCATACACTCAAGGAAACCCCACAAGAAAAAGTCTATTGGGGTCAAATTGCATGATATCGGTGGCCAATTCACATCACCTCCACGTGCACATTCTCGCAGACAACAGCGATATTTTCGGCAGGTCTTGCCTTTCGTCGACGTACAGGTCGATCGTTTACTGAATCACTGTACTCAAAATCGAATAGTCCTCTTGGTAGGACGATTATGACGATAGATGAGTGGAAGAAGCGCGCGGTACGTTGCACGAATAGAACACCTATTTTGATGGGACAATTCAATTATTTGCACTTGTTGTTAAATGATATGTCAGTCGATAGTGATTTGGAAAAGAGACTGAATAAATGAGAACTAATTTGACAGATGTAGCTTCCATAAGATGGCCGTTATCAATTGTCAAATTTCGGAAGACTCTGTTAGAAGACCCTATAGACACAGAGTAGTTGATAATTTTCAGTCACAGAAAATGTTCATGGAAGTGAAAGTTATTGATGTTCGTTTTTTGGAATTTTCAGATAGAAACAATTCAATTCAACCAAACTTATCTTGACAGTCTAGGGTTCAATTTGATTACCAAACAGCGAAAAGCTTGATTGACATATAGTGGGCGCTTTTTTCAGTTTCTGTTGGTCTATGAAGGGGATACAAATATTCATTAATTCTAGTGGGATAATTATGAGTAGGTATATTCTCAGTGTAGAGGTGTGAATTTTTATAAATGAACATTAGGCATTCATAGTTATAAATCATGTAGATTGTCATTATATTGGTGGATTTGAATACTGTTCTGCAAGTTTGGTTATAATTTAAGTTGTTGATTCCTCTTATTATCCTTTTTTGAACCATGAATTTTTTTTCGATATTTCGATTGCTACCCCAAAAAATAATTTCGTATCGAGCAACTGTTAGCCGTATATATTGTTTTTATAGCCTCATTGTGCAGATATTTTGATGTAACTATAATCCCGTACGATATTCCACTTAGTTTGTTTGCGAGGTTATCAATATGAGAAGTTCAATTCATGTTCTCGTCTATGTGGATTCCTATAAATTTGGTGTTGTGGGACAGTTCAAAAGAAGAGTTTTGAAGGTCGACTCTAACTGGATAATCAATGTTGTGTCGGTTTGTTGTAAACAAAATCATATGTTTATTTTTATTGAACCAGTCCTTGGTTTTGTTGAATATTTAACATCATCTCTGGGAAGGTTTCATCACCTGACAACAGACTTGTGTCATCTGCGAAGATAGTTTTGAACTAACGTTGGTTTAGGTTTAGATTACATAAGTCGTTCAAATAAATGACGAACAAAAGAGGGCCGGCAATGCTCCCCTGTGGAATTCCCACGTGTGTGGGAAGGGTTTCGGATATTTCAAGCATAGCATAGTTAAAATGTAATAAAACTAGTGCTGTACATAATATTAATTTCAATATCCGTGGAAGGTACTGCCTTACTCCATATATCAATTTCGAAGGAGAATATGTATGGCGTAAGTCATTTGATTACTTTTCGAATCTGAGCGTGGTCAAGGATGAATCCAAGATTTTTTGCCTTTTCCACCAACTTGATATTCACGCCATTGATTGATATGTTGATGGATTCTAAACTATCCTATCAAATCGTTTGGACTTTGATCCAAATAATGGAACGTTTCATTTTCGAGATACTACTGAACCGTCAAATTCTGAACTGCATAACAATGGAAATAAAAACTTTTCATGAGTGCCTGTGAATTATTCAGTATCAGCATTCACCGCGTGAAATACTGCCAGTTACGAAAATCAACTGAGTAAATGGCGGATGTTTTTTTTTTAAATTACACCAAGGGACTCCTCCCACAATGGCTCAGTTAACGCAAATTTTATTTCCCAAACATCCCCCGAACGTTACTCACCCTCGAACAAACCGAGGAAATCAACAAAGCCCAACGAAGCAATACATTTAATTTGGAAATGGATTTGCACAAGGAGAGAATAAATTCCCGTGTTCAGTTTGCCAATCGAGAAAAAGAATAAACCACAATGGATGTGAAAGGAAAAAATTTTGGGCGATGCAATCGCTCTTTCGTGCCTCCAAATCGATCGAAAAACATTCCAATTGGAAATGGACAATGCTATAGCTCACAATGTTCCATGTTGACCTCTACAATTTGCTTCTCGAAAAAATTGACTTTGAATGACCGTTTTGAAATTGAAAATCAGCATGTCGGATATGGAAAATATATTTTGAAATTTCTTCTACCAGTTTCCTTCTAGTTATTTAATGAGCATTTTTTCTGAGAATAGTACAGCAAACGTGTCACTAGAGGCAGCACTAGTAGTGAGAACAAACAATAAACTATTCACATGTGAAACAGTGTTATTTACGTAAAATTAATTAATGATTTGGAAATATAAATCTGATATAAACAATTATTTTGTGCTAGTATAATGCCAAAATGCCAACAAAACTATGCTGTTTTGCGAATTATACGTTGGATAATCGATATCCGGAAGAAAACGTGTTTTTTATACCATTTATAAAACCTCATAATAAAGAGGTTGGATGTAAGAAATGGATACATGCTTCGAGGAGAGTGAATTCATGTCATATGTATGCTCTAAATATGAAATAAATAGTAAATTTTTCATAGTCAATTTCGATTAATTAGAATGAGATATAACCTCAATCGTTTATTAAATTATATTCATTATATTCAATTGAATTTATTTCATTCCCATCTATATTTGATTCATATTAATAAGGGTTTTACAAAAACCGCGACACGTGTTTCGCTATACAATAGCTTCTTCAAGCATAACTGAGAGTTACTTCTGAATTACAACGTTATATACCATAACCTAGTACCTATTTGTCTACCTAAGTAATAAATCTATCTGAAAAAACAGGTAGATTTATTACTTAGGTAGTTAACAGGTTAAGTTTCAAACCTTTCTTCTGGAAATGGAGGGGTTGAACTCTTGTCCCTCTGAGATAAGATGACTGGCATATGTGGAATTTATTTTTCCGTTCTGAAAACTATATTTGTGTTCCTTTATGCGAGTTTTGAACGTTCTTCCAGTTTGACCTATATAAAACATCGGACATGACCCACTCGATAATTTATACACTCCTGATTTTTCTGAAACTGAACTCTTATCTTTGTTATTTTTAGTCCATTTTTTATTTATTTTTAGTGCATGCCCAAGTTGTTGTTGGTTTCGAAAACAGTATTTACACCTTTGCTGTGCCGAAAATCTGAAATATTTGTAGTGGGTTGGCCTAAGTAGGTTAAGGTTCTATAACTATTATCCTCTTCTCTTTGAATTGGGTAAACTTCTTTCAAAGCTTGACTGTATAACTTCTTTGATAATGGAGAATGTATCAGACCACTATCATAATCATTGTTGACAGCTATTTGCTTCATTATATTCAGTTCTTTATTTGAATCTTTTCGTTTAATAGAGTCTGTGTACTAACCTGTCTATTAATTCACTGTTTTTACAGTTACTTTTAAATAACGGCATGCAGGCCAACGTTTCAATGTTACAACATTGTTATCCTTTACAGTTGCAAACTTTACTTTTGCTCCAGAAACATATTTTCTTATGTTAAAAACATTCTTTTTTTAACTGTACTTCACCATATGTTTATATAAGAATAAGTTGTGATCAATTCAGGCATATCAAGCATCTTTGATAATACTCTGAATTTATATATTAATTTTCTGTCACGTTGTCGACATGTATATTCCATCTTAAATGTCTGTCAACAGTGACACCACGGTATCTGATTGGTCGGTTGCGCTAATTTCAAAAGTAGTTCCGTGATTGGGCAAGTTGGAAGCATAACAGCTCAGCGGTAGGAACATAGATTTTTTAAAATTGATGGTGAGTAGTTTGTGATTAAACCAATCTATCAGGTAGCTAAAATCTTCTTCAACGATATGTTTAAAGTTATCCCAAGAGTCTGCGCTATAAAAGATAGCCGTATCGTCAGCATAGCTGATGATATTTCCACATGTTTGCAAGGTGAGTAAGTTGTTTATATAAATCACGAAGAGGGTTGCCCTAGAACTGTTCCTTGTGGAACTCCGCAAAGTACAGTTCTTCCTTCACTTATACATCCGTTTATATTCACGAATTGTTTTCTTGAGTTCAAATAAGATTGAAACAATCTTAAAGCATTTCCTCGGATGCCAATACTGTCTAAGGCTTCCAACAACTGGGAATGATCGACAGTGTCGAACGCTTTAGCAAGGTCGAGAAACAAACAAAGTGACACCCCTCCTTCATCAAATGCATCATACATTCGTTTGGTTAGGAAGGAAATAGCATCCTGAGTCGATTTATCATTTCGGAAGCCAAATTGTTTGGCAGAAAGAGTATCACTTTGCACTAAGTAACAGTCAAGTCTGGTTTTCAATATTTTTTCTAATATCTTAGCATGTTCTATTTGTTATATTTGTTGATATACAATTTTGCAATACATACATGGAAATTGAAGATACAATTTCTAATCCTATGTTTCGGCTTTCAAAGTGGAAAAACCCTTCTAGGCAATTCGCTGCGATAAAAATACACCAGTTCAGCTCACTGTATCAAACTGTCCCCAGACTAAACTCAGTATTCGCAACGAAAATAAAACAAGGCAATCAACAATCCAGC